GGAGCACTTTACCACTATGCTACACCTATGCTACACCCCTACCTTTTTTGGTACTGGGGATTGAACTCAGGGACACTTAACCACAAGCCACATTTTCAGACCTTTTTTATATTTTAGAGACAGAGTCTTGCTGAGTTGCTTAGGGCCTCACTAAATTGCTGAGGCTGGGTTTGAACTCATGCCTCCTGTCTCAGCCTCCTAAGCAGCTGGGATTCAGACTGTGGTTCTTTTTTTTCAGGGAGGGGGGTGCTGGGGATTGAACTCAGGGGCACTCAACCACTGAATCAAATCCCCAGCCCTATTTAATTTAGAGACTGGGTTTCACTGAGTTGTTTAGCTTAGCTGTTGTTGAGGTTGGCTTTGAATTCTCGATCTTCCTGCCTCAGTCTCCCAAACCTCTGGGATAGACTCTGGTTCTTAAGAATAGCTCCTATGCCTATGTCTCCCCAGTCCAAGAAAAGGCCCCAAATAAATTTTCTTCTGATCTTAACTACTATGAAATAGGAAGTTTATTTATTTATTTATTTAAAGATTTTTTTTTTTTAGTTGCCAATGGGTTTTTTTTTTTTTAATCCTTTATTTATTTATGTACATGTGATGTTTAGGATTGAACCCAGGACCTACACATGCCAGGCAAGTGCTCTACCACAGAGCCACAATCCCAACCCAAGGAGGTTAATTTATCATCCCATTACAATAGGAGCAAAAACTGTACTTTTTTAACATAGAAAGTATTTTTCACCAAAAATTATTGTAAATCAGGAGAAGTGCTGGGTATGGTGTTATATGCCTATAATCCCAGCTACTAGGGAGACTGATGCAAGTTTAAGACCAGCAGCTTATCAAGACCGTCTCAAAATAAAGAATTAAAGACTGGGAATGTAGCTCAGTGCTAAAGCATCCCTGGGTTCAATCCCCTAGTACAAGAAATAATAAATAATAAATAACATATCAAAGGAGATATGGTTTAATATAGTACTAGGAATTGAACCCAGAGCCTAGCACATGCCAGGCAAGAAAGAGCTCTCCCACTGAGTTACATCCTTAGCATCATACATTTAAGTAAGAGTTACACACATTTTTTAGTTGTCAATGGATTTTTTTATCTTTTATTTATTTATGTACATGTGGTGCTAAAGATTGAACCCAGGGCCTACACATGCCAGGTACATCCTTAGCAGCATACATTTAAGTAAGAGATACACACATTTTTTTAGATAATGTGTTGTGGCTCAGTATAATATCGCTTGTTCAATTCTCAGTACTACATATAAATGAATGAATAGAATAAAGCCCATCAACAACTAAAATATTAAAAAAGAGCACATATGTATATATAAAAAAGATATACACACATATACTTAATGATCTACTTTACTTTCTGCTTTCTTAGAGTTATTGCCAGTACTACCATCCGTGTCCAAAAGTGGCTCTTAACCTTTCTCAGTGCATTTTGCAGTTTTCTCCTGGGCACAAGCTTCTTTCCCCGCCTTTCATTCTCTATGTACTGAAACCCTGACATACCAGCCCTTAGCAGTTAATGCAATCTCTACCTCAGAAAACACGAGAAGCTGTTTTCTCTCACTTGTTTATCTTGCCATAAAGTTAGTATCTTTGTTTTTCTTTTCTTTTCTTTTTAATATTTATTTATTTATTTATTTATTTTTAGTATTTGGCGGACACAACATCTTTGTTTGTATGTGGTGCTGAGGATCGAATCCCGGCCGCACGCATGCCAGGCAAGCGTGCTACCACTTGAGCCACCTCCCCAGCCCCATCTTTGTTTTTCTGTTGCAACAGAAACTACATTAATTCGATTTTATGTTTTATCTAACTGTTCTATTACTAAGAAATTCCATTACTAAGAAATTTATAACTAATAGTTATAAAAAACAAACTTTTTAAAATTCTTTCTTTTTAAAAAAGTATTTTAATATTTTATTCAAAAGACTTGTTTTAAACATCTATAAAACATTCACTGATTTATTATTATTTTACTTTTAACATTTAAATTTAAATTCAAGTGGTAAAAGTAACAAAAAATATATAATGGAATTAATTATCATTCAGCAGTATACCTCAGTGTAGGGAGACCCACCCACCCTCACCACAACAAACCTAATGTATCAGACATGTCTGTGTTTTGTTTTCCTTTAGGTAATATTTTTGAAAAGTTACATTGTCCAAGAATGAACTCTTACAGACAGAAGTAATCTTTCCAAAAGTAAAAATCTAGATTCTCAAAACTCACAAAATCAATTGATTTGGGGACTGGGGCTGTAGCTCAGTGCACTTGCCTAGCATGTGTGAAGCACTGGGTTCAATCCTCAGCACCACATAAAAGTAAAGTTAAAAAATAAATTAAGCTCTCATGTCCATCTACAACTAAAAATATATTTTTAAAAAGTCAATTTGTTTGGGACTATCTGTCATCCAGTAAGTACTGTCTGTCATGCTCAAGTCAGCTTCATATTGTAAGTAATAATCTCTAGCTAGTTTTAGTAGGCAAGTTCATTTCTAAAGAGTGCTAAAGACTGTTACTCTTAATTGTATGGCCAGTTGTCTTATTGCTGAATTCTACCTCATACAATTTTTTGGCAACTTTATAAATACTCCAGACCTACTATAAAGGTTTGGATTAACTTAGTATTTCAAAATTTCAAGATGCTAGAATAGGAAAGCCTTCAATCATGCCTAATAAAAATGGTAAGGGGGGAAATACTGCTAAATAATTAATACTAAAATCTTTCAGTTATATACAAGTACATAATTCAACTCAACTTTACCAGTAAAAACATTAAAATGTTAGCTCCAATTCCCCTTCAGAGCTTGACCACTGACTTACATCTTAGCCCTTTTTATTTTCTATTTTGAGACAGGGTCTCAATAAGTTGCTTAGGGCCTTGCTAAATTGTTGAAGCTGGCTTTGAACTTTCGATCCTCCTTTCTCAACCTCCAGAGCTGCTGGGATTACAAGTATTGATAGTTAATTTTCAATTCTTGTTCTATGGATTAAGTCAATTCTGGGGGTGTACAATACATTGCCAAGAAATTTAGACAGGAAGCTTAGGTCCAGAAGTTTAATTAAGAAATCTTTTCTATATGTAACAAAAATCACCAACTGAAATTGCTTCCATTAAAAATTATTACTCCAAAATTCATACAAAATAAATTAAATATGTTATAGGAGAAAGCTAAGTTTGAAGTATGTTCACATAACACAGATAAATGATAAAGGTTAACCAGCAAAACTCCTCAAATAGGCATATATACAAACACTTGTATATGCACACTTCTGTGAATAAAAAGAATTGATTGACCAGGTGCAGTGGCACATGTTTGTAGTCCCAGAGGCTAGGGAGGCTGAGGCAGGAAGATCTTGAGTTCAAAGCCAGCCTCAGCAAAAGCAAGGCACTAAGCAACTCAGTGAGACACCCTGTCTGTAAATAAAACACAAAAAAGGGCTGGGGAGATGGCTCAGTGGTTGAGTGACCCTGAGATCAACCCCCAGTACCCCCCCAAAAAAAGAATTAATTCATTTGATAATTTCATGTACAGCTTGTATTCAATTTAAGAGAAATACAACTGAATGTTTCTATGTAAATGCTGCAATAAATTCAAATGAAATGCTGAGTAACTGTCTTACAAACTCATCTATCTCCAGATGATAGCCAGTGATGTTGTTATAGGAAATGCCCTCTTCCTGAACAATCATTTCTGTTTTAACTGGGAGCACATCTTCCAGCATGTGCTTGGGATCTCTGAATCCTGGACTTTTCAGAACATAAGAAGCAATCTCAACTTTGACCAGACCTTGTTTTATGGTATACAGCTTCTTAAAGACCTTGTAATATTGAATGTTTGCCAATGAAGGAAAACCCATCCTAAACCTGGCTTAAAAAACAATTTCACTTCAAAGGGAGGGTGGTTTGTTTGTTTGTTTGTTTCTTTCTTTCTTTCTTTCTTTCTTTCTTTCTTTCTTTCTTTCTCTTTCTCTCTCTTTTTCTCTCTTTCTTTCTTTTTGTGTGTGTGCTGGGAACCCACCCCAGGGCCTTGTGCATTCAAGGCAAGCATTTTCCCAACTGAGCTGTATTCTCAGCCCAAAGGGACCGTTGAGTCCCCATTCCCCACACTGTTAATACACATTTGCTTCAACTCTCCAGTTAAACCAGCCACTCCCAGAAGGTAATAAATGGGTGACTTAAGTCTCCAAGTGACATATCCTGTGCATCAGAGGGAGGGAGTCTTGTTTTCTTTCCCATTATCCTCTGTTGTAAAAACCAATTGTTTAATAATTTCATCCATACTGTCTAATGATTATGTTTTCATGAAGTGTTGGAAAGAGATAGCACATATTCCTACAGTCCTGAGTGACAGCTAAGTGGAACTGATCTCCTGATAGCTCTTGGGCTACCTGTCATATTTTTTGTCTGATACCATCTAATATAATTTAGGATTTAATCAATATGTCTTCCATTATCAGGAGCACTTGTAATCCTATGGAGGAGAACAATCGTCCTCTTATGTTCAACAGTTATATCCCAACCAAGTTTCACAAGTCTCTCATGTTTGTCATGCCTTACATCCAATTCCTGCTGAAATTACTTGAAGGCCAGCATCATGGGTGAAGGTGAACTAACATCCTTCCCCTCCCTTTGGTTATACAGGGAAGTTGTTGTGTTTCTTCTTCTGAAACCTCTCCATTCTTCTTTGCTGCTCACATTGGGTGACCTTTGCTGAGACATACAGAAACTGGAGGCTGCAGAGCGCAGCTCAGTACCAGTTGAGGCAGCCACCTGAGTGGCCAACTGTCCTAAAAGTGTATCTTTCATCATATAAAGTGTATATTTGGGAGTGGGTTCAAAGTTGTAGAGATTCTTGGAATCATTTTTTTGAAAGTCAAATAGTCTTAATTCTCTTGAATTGTTCAGCTTTTTATTCTCCATAAAGTTCCTATTTCAGTTTTCCTTTTTCTTTTTTTTTTTTTTTTCCCCTTGTAGTGGACATTTGGGAGTAATAAAAACAAGAAGAAAGGAAAAGGCCGAAAAATAGAGAAGAAAGGAACCATGAAGAAACAAGCAAATAAAACTGCCTCCTCGGGTAGTTCAGACAAAGACAGTTCTGCTGAGAGCTCAGCACCTGAGGAAGGTGAGCCAAGTACCCAGACCTGGCGGGTGAATTTCTGTCTTGTCAGGTTGGAGAGAGAGACAGAAGTGGAGAAGAAAGGAGCCCACATTATAGCTTGATCTCTGCCTTTAGAATAGTGGTCCTTAGCTTTTTCAGTGGTCATGGATCCTTTGGGAATCTGGAAAAAAAAGCAAGAGAAATCATGCATTTCCCAAAGGAAGGATGAGAACCTGGGAACCCAACCAAGGAACCCAGGAGGAGTAGGTGTCCCTGTATTAGTATCCACTCACTTTATCCTGGGTGTCTTCTTTTTTTGTCTGTGGAGGGAAATCCTTGAATCAGATGGAAAACTTAGAAGAAATATTCTATTTTTGTTGTTGTTACCAGGGATATGACTCAGGCACTCAACCACTGAGCCCCATCCCCAGCCCAATTTTGTATTTTATTAGAGACAGGGTCTCACTGAGTTGCTTAGCGCCTTGCCATTGCTGAGGCTGGCTTTAAACTCTCAATCCTCCCGTCTCAGCCTTCAGAGTTGCTGGGATTATAGGTGGGCACCACCACTCCCAGAGAAGAAATATTCTTTTCTTAAACAATTCCAGAACTTTTTGATAACACTAGTTTAACAACTAACTTGTTTATTATTGTTTAGAATAATAAACCTTAAGTTGTTTAGAAAAAGTAAGGTTCACTTACAAACAGCCTGGTATAAAATTGGTCTAACCTGGTTTTAAGTCCATGTCTGTGAATGTTAGCTCAAATTGAATCAAGCCACAATTCTTGTTAAATGGCTGATTTTAACTTAATATTCATTAATAATATATATTGACTTTTTACATGCCACCCTTTGTCCTTTCAAGATCCAGTGTTGGGCTGGGGTTGTGGCTTAGTGGTAGAGCACTCGCCTAGCACGTGTGAGGCCCTGGGTTCAATCCTCAGCACCACATAAAAATAAATAAATAAAACAAAGGTATTGTGTCTAACTACAACTAAAAAAATAAGTATTTTTTTAAAATACCAGCTAATAAATGTAGAAGAAATTATAAGGTTAGAAAAATCTTCCTTTTTTTTCATCCACAATAATAATTGTTAATATAATATGGAACAAGATGTTTTTACAGTCTAAAAGAATCTTCCTATACATTACTAACTATAGAGGGAAAAAGGTTCCTGTACAGAGAGGAAATATGGGAAACACCACCTTAACCAAGTAATACAAATTAATAGTAATGATACAAACACATGCTAAATGCTTTTTTTTTTTTTTTTTAAGAGAGAGTGGGGGAGAGAGAGAGAGATTTTTTTTTAATATTTATTTTTTTTTAGTTCTCGGCAGACACAACATCTTTGTTTGTATGTGGTGCTGAGGATCGAACCCGGGCCGCACGCATGCCAGGCGAGCACGCTACCGCTTGAGCCACATCCCCAGCCCTAAATGCTTTTTTTGATGTTGGTTTTTGTTTTTTTTTTTTTTAAGAGAGAGAGAGAGAGAATTTTTTAATATTTATTTTCTAGTTTTCGGTGGACACAACATCTTTGTCTGTATGTGGTGCTGAGGATCGAACCCGGGCCCCACACATACCAGGCAAGCACGCTACCGCTTGAGCCACATCCCTAGCACCTCCCCCCCCCTTTTTTTTTTTTTTTTGTGGTAGGACTTGAACCCAGGGGCATTTTACCACTGAGCTACATCCCTAGTCCTATTTATTCTTTATTTTGAGACAGGGTCTCGCTGAATTGCTAAGGCTAGCATTGAACTTGTGATCCTTCTATCTCAGCCACTGGAATTGCTGGGATTACAGGTGTGCACCACTGTGCCTGGCTGGATGTTAGATGCTCTCTGATGTAACACAATCATTTATCGAGTATTCTTGCCAAAAATTCATAACCTAAATTGTTTCTTGGCAAACCAAATCAAATTAGGAGACCTTTGATAACTGTTGTTCTCAGAATTAATATTTAAAAATCAGTTTCTCAGTTACACTAGTTGCATTTCAGTTGCTCATTAGCCACTTGTATTGGCTACTGTTCAGATAGAGAATATTTTCATCACTACCTTACAAAATTCTATTAGACAATTTTGTGGACTTAAACTCTTCAAAAATTCAAAGGCTTGAAAGACAAAGGCTGGTCCAAACCAGGCATGATGTAGTCCTAGATTGGATTCTGGCTCAAGTGATCTCCTGCCTAAGGTGAGGAGTTTGGGCCAACCTGGACAACATCACGAGATCCCATGTCATTTAAAAAAAAGAAATTAGCTAGGATTGTAGGTAAGTACGCTTATAATCATGGCTACTCAGGAGGCTGAAGCAGGAGGACCACAGGTTTAAGGCCAGCCTGGGCAACCAAGTAAGATTCTGTCTCAAAAAAAACCAAAAAAAGGACTGGGGATGTAGCTCAGTGGTAGAGCTCTTGCCTAGCTGCATGAAGTTCTGGGGTTAATCCCTAATAACACCTGGAAAATAATTAATTCATTTTTTTAATAAAGGTTGGTCCAGATTAAATGATATTAGAGACATGGTAACCAATGTGTGATCTCAGATTGGACCCTACTTTGAATAAAAAGTGTCTATTAAGTTCAGTAGTAAAACAATTGGTGAAATTTAAGTACTAACTGTACATTATATGATGGAATTGCATCAATGATAAATATGCTAAACTTGATAATAATGTAGTTTGTTAAGTAAGAGACTGTCCTTTGCAGGGCACAGAGATACATGCCTATGATCTCAGGTGGCAGGAGGCCAACCTCAGTAACTTAGTGAGACCCTGTCTCAAAAACTTTTGAAGCTGGGCATGGTGGCGCACACTCAGGAGGCTGAGGCAGGAGGATCTCAAGTTCAAAGCCAGCCTCAGCAACAGCTAGGCACTAAGCAACTCAGTGAGACCCTGTCTCTAAATAATACAAAAAAGGGCTGGGGATGTGGCTCAGTGGTTGAGTGTCCTTGAATTCAATCCCTGGTACCAAAAAAAACCCTTTTTTGTTTGTTTGTTTGTTTGTTTGACAGCCAGGTGTGGTGGCACACACCTATAACCCCAGCTACTCAGGAGGGTTAAGGCAGGAGGATCAGGAGTTGAAAGCCACCCTCAGCAAAAGCAAAGTGCTAAGCAACTCCGTGAGACCCTGTCCCTAAATAAAATTCAAAATAGGGCTGGGGATGTGGCTCAGTAGCCGAGTGCCCCTGAGTTCAATCTCTGATAATTCTCCCCCCAAAAAAAATATTTTTTGAGGTGCACCACCTCACACAGCTACAATTATTTTATATATGTGTAGACAAAAAAAGTAGTCAGGCATGGAGACATATACTTGTAATCCCAGCAGCTCAGGAGGCTAAGGCAGGAGGATCATAAGTTCAAAGCCAGCCTCAGTAATTTATCAAGCCCCTAAGAAACTTAGTGAGACCCTGTCTCTAAATAAAATATTTAAAAAGGGGCTGGGGATATGGCTTGGGGGTTAAGTGTCCCCAAATTCAGTCCTAGGTACCAAAAAATGAAAAGGAAAGAGAAAGTGAATTGACATCGTTAACAATGAATGAATCTAAAGAATGTATGAGAGTGTTACTGTACAACTTTTTTCCTGTAGGTGTATAATTTCTTCAAAATAAAAAAGTTGTGCTAGGGGGCTGGGGATATAGCTCAGTTGGTAGAGTGCTTATCTCACATGCACAAGGCCCTGGGTTCAATCCCCAGCACACACACACACACACACACACACACACACAAAAGTTGTGCTAGGCGTGGTGAGGTTGTGGCAGGAGGACCTCCAGTTGAGGCCAGCCTCGGCAACTTAGGGAGACCCTGTCTCAAATTTAAAAGGCTGAGAGTGTAATTCAGTGGTAGGTGCCCCTCTGTTTAGTTCCCACTACCAATAAATAAATAAATAATAATCCAAGTATGGTGGTACAATCCTGTACCAGTGACTTGGAAGGCCAAGGCAAGAGGATCACAAGTTCAAAGCTAACCTCAGAGCCAGGCATGGAGGCACATTCCTGTAATCCCAGTGATTTGAGAGGCTGAGACAGGAGGATTTTGAGTTCAAAGCCAGCCTAAGCAATTTAGCAAAAGCCCTAAGCAACTTAGTAAGACCCTGTCTCAAAATAAAACATAAAAAGGCTGTGGATGTTGCTCAGTGGTTAAGCCACCTTGGGTTCAATTTCCAGTATCAGGAAGGAAAAAAAAAAAAAAATGACTAGTCTTAGCAACTTAATAAGACCCATTCTCAAAATAAAAAATAAAAAGGCATAAAAGAATTGAAAAGAACATAGCTTTCTTTTTCCAGCCTTAATTTCGCTAATCTCTATTTGCATTTACCAAAAGCAGACTATGGACTGGTCCCAAAGAAGCTGAGGTGGCCTTTTGCCATTTTACCTGAGAGAGTCAGAGGTGGCCTTTTGCCATTTTACCTGAGAGAGCCAGTGCTTGTCAACACTGTGGGATCACTGGACTTAGCATGTGATCTCATGTTGGGTCTCTGTTGCAGGGGAAGTATCAGATTCTGACAGCAACAGCTCCTCTTCTAGTTCAGATTCAGATTCTTCCTCAGAAGATGAAGAGTTCCATGATGGCTATGGAGAGGATCTCATGGGAGATGAGGAAGACAGGGCCCGTCTGGAACAGATGACAGAGAAGGAAAGAGAGCAAGAGCTGTTCAACCGCATAGAGAAGAGGGAGGTGTTGAAAAGAAGGTAAAGTTGTAGTTACCCTGCCTTTTCTATTTATTTCTTGTCTCTCTCTCTCTCTTTTTTTTTTTTTTAGTGATGATTCCTTTTTTTTTTTTTTTTTTGTATGTTTATTTTTTAGTTGTAGTTGACATAACACCTTTGTTTTATTTATTTATTTTTCTGTGGTGCTGAGGATCAAACCCGGGGCATCACACACTCTAGGTGAGTGCTCTACCGCTGAGCCACAACCCCAGCCCTATTTCTTGTCTCTTATACTTCCCTTCTCATTGACATCTGACCTGTATAGGTGGTCTAAAAGTTCAACTTAAGAGTTTTCAACAAGGAGGTTGTGGCTCTTCGGTAGAGTGCTCGCCTAGCATGTGCGAGGCACTGGGTTCGATCCTCAGCCCCAAATAAAAGTAAAAATAAATAAATAAAATAAAGGTACTGTGTCCAACTACAGCTTAAAAAAAAAAAAAAGATTTTTCAACTTTACAATTGTCTGAAAACATACCCATATAACCATCCTGATTTTCACATTCAGTACAGTATTAAGTAAATGAAATGAGATACTCACTGAAGCTTTTGAGCACATTTAAGGCAGGCTAGACTTAGCTATGATGTTTGCGAGTGTAGATGTATTCAATACATTTTCATCTTATGATATTTTCACCTTATAATGGGGTTCGGATGCTTTCACATCATAAGCCAAGGAACATCAGTATGTGAAGATGCATTTGGAAATGGTATTGTTAACAAAATGAGAAACAAATATTTAGGATCACATTTGTTGTTTATACTGTCATTTTATTTACTAATTGCTTTTTTCATAAAATGCTGTAGACATTTGTGTCTGTTATTTATTCTTCATAACTACCCTATAAAGTTGATTACATCTTGTAAGAGAGTTAGAAATTTTGGCTTAAAGACATAAAGTAACTAAAGAGCAAGCTCCATGAAGGCAGAGACTTTGCCTTGTTTACTGCTCTATTTCTGGTACCTAGAACAATGACCAGCACATAGATGTGCACTAAATATTTGTTGAATGAAAGAAAGAAGATATTTGTCTAAGATTATATAGCTGGTAAGTGGTGCAACTAGATCTCAAACCTGGCACCAGCTGACTCCATAAAATACACTGGGAGCAACATTGTCTCCTACTTCCAATTATTTTACCTGTTTTTAACATAGCAAGGAAGTCATGAAATGGTCTTGATTTTAGAATTTAAATCTAGTAATTATTGAAAGTATGGGCTGGGGATGTGGCTCAAGCTGTAGCGCGCTCGCCTGGCATGCGTGCGGCCCGGGTTCAATCCTCAGCACCACATACAAACAAAGATGTTGTGTCTGCCTGAAAACTGAAAAATAAATATTAAAAATTTTTAAAAAAAGAAAGTAATGTGAGAAGACATCAAGTGATATGTAAAAATTAAATGAATAGGGCTGGGGTTGTGGCTCAGTGGTTAAGCGCTTGCCTTGCATGTGTGAGGCACTGGGTTCGATACTCAGCACCACATACATAAATAAAGATATTTTTAAAACATTAAATGAACAAATGGTGTTTCACAGCTTTATGTTTTACAGATTGACTAAATTTTTCAAGCTCCCAAAGTAGAAATAATTTTCCAAAATTCACATTTGGAACCCTGTTTTCATAAGATTCAAGTCTTGGAATTACTCATTATGTACACACTAGGTATCTGTCCTAGCTTTTTTTTTTTTAAGCACTGGGGATTGAATCCAAGGGTGTTCTATCACTGAGCTACATTCTCAGCCCATTTCATTTATTTTGAGATTGGGTGTCTCTAAGTTGCCAGGCTGGTCTCAAACTTGCAATCCACCTGCCTAAGCTTCTCATGTACCTCAGGAGGCATGTACCACTGTGCCTGGCAGTTTTTGTATTTTTTTAAAATCTGTAATGTCAGATTGCTTCTTGGTAATGAGAAGATGCTTCAGTTTTCTGAATTTTTGCCATAAGCTTCTTGTCTTTTATCTTGGGAGATAAGAGTCCTCAGAACCAATATCTTTCCTTATTTACCTAATATCATTAAAAGAAAATCAAAGCACTTTTCTTTGTCAGCAGTTAGTTCCATTTCATCTGGAGCCGATTTGTCCTTTCTGGACATATTTCTGAACCATATTAACTGTGGTGAGTTACCTTAGACAAAAATGTTTCACTTTCAGTCAGCAGCAAGCAGTAGATAGACATTTGTTTGTTTTTTGTTTTTAATATTTTTTTAGTTGTAGTTGGACACGATGTCTTTATTTTATTTATTCATTTATTTTTTATGTGGTGCTGAGGATCGAACCCAGCACCTTGCATGTGCTAGGCAAGCACTCTACCGCTCAGCCCCAGCCCCAGCCCCTAGACGTTTGTTTTAATTTTGAATACTTCCAAGGTTACCTGTGTTGGAACCAACAGGACTTAATCTGTGTTGGAGTTGCCAGATGGTTAGGTATGACTTGTAAAAATTGTATTTCCAAATTGTGAAGAACATAACAAAAGCTTGTGGTATAATTAAATTACAAAGTAACTCAGGAGTAATGAATGGCTGGCCTCAAGTTTGGTTTGTTTATTGTATTTGTTTGTTTGTTTGTTTTAGTCCTGGGGATCAAACACATGACATCTGCATGCCAGGCAAGCTTCTACCACTAAGCTACACTCCCATTCAGTTTTTAAATTTTTGCCTTATGTGAACAAGGCAGTTGACTGCTTCAGTGATAGTTTTTAGTACTAGAAGAATGTTTAGGGTGATGATAATTAAAGCAGAGATTCAGAGCCCTGCACAGGAAATTAATATTTTTGTAGCTCATTTGTTTAGCTTTAGGGCAATGCAATATGATAACTCAGAAAATTTCATTCATCTATTTTACTTAATTAAGTTCTTTATATGGATCCCATCTAATCATTATGTGTATTCCATGACAGACGTTTTTTTCTTTTTCTCCAGTCTGTTTTTATTTATTTATATTTGCAGTACTAGGGATTGAACTTAGGAGCCCTCTATCACTGAGCCACATCCCCAGTCCTTTTTATTTTTCATTTTGAAATAGGATCTTCTTGAGTTGCGGAGGCTGACCTACTTGCAATCCTCCTGCCTTAGCCTCCAGAGTTGCTGGCTTTATAGGCATGCACTACCTGCCAAGATATAACAGTCTTATGTAAGCACCATTAATGTTCTGCTCTCTGGTCAGCAATACCTATAGCAATACCTATAGATGTTGGATTCCTCAGGGGAACAGGCAGCATACAAAATAGCGTAATCACAGAAAGAACACTGACATTTTAGGGCCAGGACCTCAGCTCATTGGTGGAGTGTTTGCTTACCATTTGCAACACCTTGGGTTCAATAGCCTCTACCCCAACAAAACAAAACAAAAAATTATCATGTTAGCTGGGCATGGTGGCACACACCTGTAATCCCAGCAGCTAGGGAGCCTGAGGCAAGAAGATTGCGAGTTCAAAGCCAGCCTCAGCAATGGCAGGACTCTAAGCAACTCAGAGACCATGTCTCTAAATAAAATACAAAATAGGACTGGGTATGTGGCCCAGTGGTGGAGTGCCCCTGAGTTCAAAACCCAGTACCAAAAAAAAATTGGTATGTTAGTTAGAAGAAGGTGTAGGTTCAATTTAGACCCATTGATCAGTGAGCTGAATAAAATCACTACCTTCCTCCTGGCTCAGCTTTTCCTTTGTTATGATTGTAAGCCTTGAATAAGATAACACCCTTAAGAACAGTATGTATATATAAGCTATTAAATACTTTAAAATACCTTATTTGAAGTAACACAGTAAAGTGTACAATTTGGTAGTGTTTTCTTTTTTGTCTCTGTATGTGTGTGGTATTGGGGATTGGACTCAGGGGGCTTTATCATTGAATTGCATTCCCAGCCCTTTTTTGTTTGTTTGTTTTGTTTTGTTTTGCTTTGTTTTTGTGGTGCTAGGGATCAAACCCAGGGACTCAAGCATGCTAGGAAAGTGTTCTACCATTGAGCTCCCTCCCCAGGCCTTTTTAAAATTTTTTATTTTGAGACAGGGTCTCCCTATGTTACTTAGGGCCTTGCTAAATTGCTGAGGCTGCCTTTGAGCTTTCGATCATTCCACCTCAGCTTCTGGAGTCACTGGGATTACAGGAATGTGCTGCTACCCCTTGCTTAATATACTTCTTGGGGTAGGGATTTAGATCAGTGGTAGAGCACTTGCCTAGCATTCACAAGACCTTGGGTTCAATCCCCAACACCTCAGAAAGAGGAAAAAAAAAAATCTTTGTTCTTACTAAAATTGTGACATTGTAGATATTGTGTCAAATGCAATGGTATACTCCTTTAATCTCAGTTTACTCCAGAGGCTGAGGCAAGAGGTTCATAAGTTTGAGGTCAGCCTGGGCAATTTAGGAAGACCTATTCCAAAATAAAATAAAGATGGCTGGGAATGTAGCTCAGTGATAGAGCACTTGGCTAGCATGTATAAGGTCCTGGGTTCATCCCTCAGTACCACAAATAGCAATAATAATTGTGACATTGTACTTTTGCCTCCTAACTTGACCAAAGAATAAATTGTTTTCTTCTGTTACACGAAGGCTGAAGGAGAACTGGTGTTACCGTAAGTCTAAAGAAGAATACAGAAGTATCCTATATATTTTTTTCTCATTTTAAATCTATTCCAATTTACTTCTTTCAAGTACTTTTTGTACTTATATTCAGTATTTTTTTAAATCTTTATTGTGTTTACTTACTTTTATGTGGTGCTGAGGATTGAACCCAGTGCCTCACATGTGCGAGGCAAGTGTTCTGCCACTGAGCCACACCCCATTGTATTAATATGCATACTAGATACATTGGAATTTCTTGCAGAATGCCAAAGTGTTTACTAACTCCTTCCTTATACTTACTTCTTTCTTCTAGTAGAAATTAATCTTTATATATATTTCATTGCTTTTTAAAAATCAAACAAATATCTTTTAACCAGGTTTGAAATCAAGAAAAAACTAAAAACAGCCAAAAAGAAAGAAAAGAAAGAAAAAAAGAAAAAGCAAGAAGAGGAGCAGGAAAAGAAAAAACTGACGCAGATTCAAGAATCTCAGGTAGGAGATTCAATGGCCTCATAATCCAAAGAGAATACCTCTTCTCTTTGAGGTAGAGGTAGATTTATGTTAATCCTCCTAGGAAATGAGTGAAAGGTTAGTTAGCTCATTTATCTCTGGATGTATCATTTTACCATTAGCCAAACTGGTTAACTCCTTAGGACACTTTCACTCTGCATTTAAATAGGAGCCCACTAGAGTAAGCATCACTTGAGAAAAAGTTGATAAGCCTCTCTGGTCCCAAGTAACCAGATCGGTTATGATGTTTACTCAGGTGTATGTGATTCTAGACTTGGTATAACTATAGCTAGGAAAATAAATCATCTCTGCATTCATCATGAATTACCAACAGATATTAGATCATAATCTATGTATTCTTTCAGAGTTTACTTGGATAATTCTTTTCTTTTTCTTTTTTGGGTGGTGCTGGGGATTGAACCCAGGGCCTTGTGCATGCTAGGCAAGCACTCTACCAACTAAGCTATATCCCCAGCCCCCATGGTAATTCTTTAGCTTACTGTTTATTAGGCAGATAAAATAAGCTGATTTCACTGCTCTATTCTCTTTGTCCACAAGAGGATGCTCTCTACTTATACAAATTTTAAGTTTCTGTAGTCAACATAAATTCACATAAAAGACTGAATACATTAATTGTTGGGTATAGAGAATCTTATCAGCAATTAGTAAAAACAAAAAGGCCGGGCTGGGGATGTGGCTCAAGCGGTAGCGCGCTCGCCTGGCATGCGTGCGGCCCGGGTCGATCCTCAGCACCACATACCAACAAAGATGTTGTGTCCGCCGAGAACTAAAAAATAAAAAAAATTAAAAAAAAAAAGGCCATCCTATTTATCCTTTCCTTCCTAGGTAACATCCCACAATAAGGAACGTCGTTCCAAACGGGATGAGAAATTAGATAAGAAATCTCAAGCCATGGAGGAGCTTAAAGCAGAGCGAGAAAAACGCAAGAACAGAACAGGTAAGTGAGGGAATGGAATGATTACTATGTGTCTTCAGTTATACAGTGTGAATCACTGGTGGCCATATTTATTTTCCCCCCTGTTTAACTCTTTATAATGAAAAGTTCCAGACATGCTGAGAATAGTATAATGAACCTTTATATTCCATTATCCAATCTCCATATTCATCTCATAGACAATCTTGTTGAATCTAAAATCCTCTAAGATTATTTTTTAATTAAATCCTAACATCATCATATTTCTAACAATATATGTCTGTTATAGATAAGGACTCTTGTTTGTTTGATTTATTTGGTACCAGGGATTGAACATAGAGGGGCTGAACCACTGAGCCACATCCCCAGACTTTTATTTTTCATTTTGAAATAGGATCTCGCTAAGTTGGTTAGGGCTTCGCTAAGTTGCTGAAGCTGGCTTTTGAACTTGTGATTCTCCTGCCTCAGCCTTTGAAGTTGCTGGGATTATATGCATGCACCATTGCACCTGGCTAGGTCTCTTGTGTTAAACCTAACTTCTATATCATTGTCACACTTAAAAATAGTAACAATGAATCCCTTAATATGATCAAATATCTAGTCAGTACTAAAGTTTCTGTGTTTGTTTTATAACTTAAAAAATATTGGTTTTATTGTTTGAATCAGGAACTTAGAGTCCACATTTTGTGATTTATTAATGCATCCCTTAAATTACATAAGCTCTTAGTTTTTCTCCTTGTTTCTTTGTCCCCTTTGTAGTTTATTTGCTGAAGAAACCATGTATGCATTTGTCTTTTTCCCACAATGCTGACTATATCCCATTGATGGTATTAGGTGTGTTCCTCGAATCCCTTGAATTTCTTGTGAATTGTTAGTTAAAACTAGAGAATTGGTTAGATTTGGGTTTGTTTTGTGTTTTGCTAGTTGCTTTAGTTTGGTTAGGAAAGCTGATTTTTAATATCTGACTGTCTTGTAGTGTTACCAGCTCTTTCAGGCAGCTTTTACCACAATAATGTAAAGTAATAAACCACTAACCTGTTCCCTACATGTGCATCAGTATGAGTTCAGCTGGGATTGACTCCAAGCTGCAGGTGGGGGTCAGGTCTGCTCTACCTGTCTCTCTTCCTCCTTGGACCAAGGAGGGCCTTTTTTTTTTTTTTTTTTTTTAGGTGTAGATGGACACAACACAATGCTTTTATTTTTATGTGGTACTGAGAATCGAACCCGGGTCCCACCCGTGCTAGGCGAATGCTCTACCTCTGAGCCACAGCCCCAGCCCCAAGGAGGACCATTTTTAATCATGGTGACAACAGAAGTATAAAAGGGGAAAGCAGAAACACAAAGTACTTGTTAAGGCTGAGACTTAAGAGTTGACATAGTATCACTCTCAGGCTGGGAGGAACTGAAATTATGGAGTTATATGATAGAAGGCACATGTACAGGATGGTATGAAGAATAGGAAATAGTAATGTGTTCTGTCACAGCCATTAATGATCACGACTTAGATCATTTAATTCACTGGGAATTGTAAAATGATAATCTGTCTGATACAGTGGCATACACCTATAATCCCAAGGATTTGAGAGGTTGAGGCAGGAGGGTTGTAAATTCAAGTGCAGTCTGGACAATTTAGTGAAACTCTGTCTCAAAAAAAAAAACTTGGGGCTGGGATTGTGGGTCAGCAGTAGAACGCTCGCCTAGCATGGGCGGTACCCAGGTTCGATCCTCAGCACCACATAAAAATAAAGGCATTGTGTTGTGTCCATCTACACCTAAAAAAATAAATATTAAAAAAAAGAGAGAGAGAGAAGGTCCCTACCTCTAATGAACTTAAAGAAAAAAATAAGTAAATAAATAAAAATAAACCAATTATAATTGTTAAGAGCCAGGGAGCCGAGCACAGTGGCACATGCCTGTAATCCCAGGGGCTTGGGAGGCTGAGGTAGGAGAATCACAAGTTCAAAGCCAGTCTCAGCAATGGTGAGATGCTAAGGAACTCAGTGAGACCATGTCTTTAAATAAAAAAATAGAAAATAGGGCTGGGGATGTGGCTCAGTGGTTGAGTACCCCTGAATTCAATCCCTGGTACCAAAAAAAAAAAGAAGAAGAAGAGGAGGAACCAGGGATGTAGCTCATTGGTAAAGCACCCCTGCTTTCAATTCTCAGTACCTAAAAAATAAATAACAACAATAATAATAATACTCTTATCTGTCATTCCTTATTTAATATCTGATCTCCTCCTATTTAAAAAAAAGGGGGGGGGCTGGGGATGTGGCTCAAGCGGTAGCGCGCTCGCCTGGCATGCGTGTGGCCCGGGTTCAGTCCTCGGCACCACATACCAACAAAGATGTTGTGTCCGCCGAGAACTAAAAAATAAATATTAAAAATTCTCTCTCTCTCTCTCCTCTCTCACTCTCTCTAAAAAAAAAAAAAAAAAAAAAAAAAACTTGTTCTCATTTACTATTTAGTTACCCCCAGGTTCATTTTTAATAGGAAAGGTAGGATAAATGTTTGATTTACTTTCCTTTATTTACCAGTCTTCAAAGATATGAAATAGTTCCTTAGCAACTACCAAAAATGACCAGTGAGGTTTGTTTATTTTGAATATCCCTGTGAACTCGTGGATTTTAACCTATTTTATTTGTTTTAATCCATTGCTGTGATTATTATTATTGATACTCAGTTTGTCAAATAGTTGTAATAAGCCCTTTAACACAAGACCCCAGAAATCCTGGTTTGGTTTGGTTTTATTTTTGGTGGTGATGGTGCTGGTGGTGGTACTGGATTGTACCCATGGCCTCATGTAGGCTAGGCACGTGTTCTACCACCCCTCATTTTTTTTTTTTAAGATATTTTTTAGTTGTTGATGGAACTTTATTTTTTAATATTTGTATATGGTACTGAGAATCGAACCCAGTGCCTCATGCATGCTAGGCAAACGCTTTACCACTGAGCCACAACCCCAGCCCCCCCCACCCCTCATTTTTATAACTTTCTTACTTTCTGGGTTTGGAATCAGACATTTCTCTAAGGAGCCCTTTTTCATGAAAAATTGTATTTATTTTTTTATTTTTATTTTTTTTTTGAGAGAGAGAGAATTTTTTAATATTTATTTATTTTTTTAGTTTTCAGCAGACACAAGGACACAACATCTTTGTTGGTATGTGGTGCTGAGGATCAAACCCAGGCCGCACGCATGCCAGGCGAGCGTGTTACTGCTTGAGCCACATCCCAGAAATTGTATTTAGAGACCACAGTCTGGACACAAGGAACACTTATACTATTCAGTTAGCTATTATTTTTAAGGCTTTCAGTGTGCAGAGCTAGAATTTTTTTTTTTTTTTTTTTAAGGATAAAGTTTAGCATGAACCTGGGTACAGTGGCTTGTGCCTGCTTCCTCTATTGGGGAAGCTGAGGCAGGAACATTGCTTGAGCTCAGGAGTTCAAGGCCTGCCTCAGCAATTTAGCAAGATCCTAAATTGCTCCAAATAAAAAATAAAAAGGGTTGAAATGTAGCTCAGTGGTAAAGCTCCTCTGGGTTTATTCCCCAGTAAGACACCCACACACACGACCAGCCTGGGGTTACAGGTGTGTGCCACCATGCTCAGCCATGGTACCATTTCTAATTCAAGAATGTCAGAGGTTTTCCTTTTTTTTTTTTTTGTAATAAACTTATACAAATATAACTCGATTTATAATGCTACCACTGCGCTACAACTCTAGCCCCAAAACTTTTAAAATTTTGAGATAGGGGCTCACTACGTTGCCCAGGCTGTCCTCAAACTTGTAATCTTCTTGCCTTAGCCTTCCAAGAGTTGTCTGGAACCCAAGAGTGCTCTACCACTACTGCACTACATATTCTGTTCTTTTTTTTTTTTTTTCTTTGAGACAGGGTCTTGCTAAGTTGTCAAGGTTGATCTTAAATTTGTGATCCTCCCCAATGTCTCCCAAGTAGCTGGGATTATAGGTGTGTGCCACCATGCTCAGCTGTGATACCATTTCTAATTCAAGAATGTCAGAGCTTTTCCTTTGTTTTTTTGTAATAAACTTATTGAAATATAACTTATTTATAATACTATTTACTCGAAGTTTACAAGGCAGGGCTAGGGATGTAGCTTAGTGATAGCTCTCTAACTAGCCTACCATGTACAAAGCCCTGGGTTTAATCCCAATATAGAGAGGGAAAAAACATTCATTGGGATTTAACTGCATCCATTTATTTACATATTGCCCAGGGCTGTTTTTATACTACACCACCTTAATTGAATAGTTAAGACAAGAGACACTGAGTTTGTAGCTGGGTGGTTGGGCGCTTGCCTGGAATGCACTGAGTTCAATCCTCAGCACCACATAAAAGAAATAAATAAAAATATTGTGTCCATCTACAAAAAAAAAAAAAAAAAAACAATGAGGCGGCAAACTGTACACCTGAAATATTTACTATTTGATTCCTTAAAAGCACTTTGGCAGGGCTGGGGTGTGGCTCAGTGATAAAGTGCTTGCCTTGCATGTGTGAGGCACTGGGTTCGTTCCTCAGCACCACATGTAAATAAATAAAATAAAGGTTCATTGACAACTAACAAAATATATTTTTTTAAAAATATTTATTTATTTTTTAGTTTTCGGTGGACACAACATCTTTGTTGGTATGTGGTGCTGAGGATCGAACCCGGGCCGCACGCATGGCAGGCGAGCGCGCTACCGCTTGAGCCACATCCCCAGCCCCTAACAAAATATTTTTTAAAAAAATAAAAGAAAAGCACTCTGGCCAAGTGGCACATACCTATAATCCCGGAGACTCCAGAGGCTAAGGCGGCAGGAGGATGGCAAGTTTGAGACCAGCCTCTATTTGAAAATAAATAAAAAGGGTTGGGGATATAGCTCAGGGATATAGTGGCCCTGGGTTCAGTCACCAAAAAACAAAACAAACACCTTCTGACTCAGAATGTGATGTTATGTCTCATTTGTGTTTTTATAGCCAAATAGTATACCCACTTGGTGGATGTACCAGGGGTATTCAGCCACTCCCCTATTTGTGGACATTTGGGTTGTTTTTGTTCTTCTGCTATTACAAATATTAATACACATTCAAAATAAGGTTTTTATCAAAAACTCTCTGAAGATAATTGTGAGTTTTTCTCCCTCTTTCTTGCCCATCTTGAAGCATCTTGAGTGCAGTAAAAGACTACTCTCAGTAGTGCTCCTGACCCTTTCTGCCCACTCACTATAACACCTTCTAGCCTTTTTTTGTTCTATGGGTACCTAATATTTGGTGCCTAAATGATTTTACACTATAGCTCAGGTTATCACAGTCTAGTCCAGAGAGGATAGAGTTGTCTAAGTCCTCTTCTAGGTTTCAGTTTCTTCTCAAAGATGAAAGAAAATTCATTTTCATCTTCAGAGTATCTGGGTAAATGTTTCTTCTTCTTTCTAGCTGAACTCCTTGCCAAAAAACAGCCATTAAAAACCAGTGAGGTTTACTCTGATGATGAGGAGGAAGAAGAGGATGACAAGTCCAGTGAAAAGTCAGATCGCTCATCCCGAACATCGTCATCTGATGAAGAAGAGGAGTAAGCTATTCACATTTTGGTTTAGTAGGCAGGATGGTTGGGTTCCTTGAGAAAAAGCTTTGTGTAGTTTTCAAAATCTTGTTTGGGCTGTGACTTGTTTGGTTCAGTACCCTGAATTGATGAACTGAGATTCCCTAGTATGTTAGCCCTTTACTTTCTTCTGCCTCTGGCTCCTGGGCTGCACTACTAAACATTCCCCCTGGACCTAGCAGATGAGAACTAACTTCGTGTCACCCTCAGATTGGCCTAAATCATTAGCTTGCTTCCTTCCTTCCTTCCTTCTTTCCTTCCTTCCTTCCTTCCTTAACTTCGTGTCACCCTCAGATTGGCCTAAATCATTAGCTTGCTTCCTTCCTTCCTTCCTTCCTTCCTTCCTTCTTTCTTTCCATCCTTTGCTTAACCACTGAGTCATATCCCCTCAGTCCTTTTTATATTTTACGTTGAGACAGATCCTCACTAAGTTGCTGAGGCTAACTTTGAACTTGAATCCTCCTGCATGCCTGGCTCATCAATTTTCTTTTCTGAAGTGGTATCTCATTCAAAACATTTTACTGGTCAGGCACAGTGGCACATGCCTATAATCCTAGGATCTTAGGAGGCTGAGGCAAGAGGATTGCAAGTTCAAAGCTAGCCTCAGCAACTTAGTGAGGCCCTAGGTAACTTAGTGAGACCCTGTTTCAAAATAAAAAATTAAAAAAGGGCTGTGGCTCAGTGGTTAAGCAACCCTTAACCACTTTGGTACCCAAAAAAAAAAAAAAAAAGTTCACACTACTGGTTAGGAACAGGATTAACTGGTTTTTTTTTTTTTTTTTTTTTAAGAGAGAGAATTTTTTTTAATATTTATTTTTTAGTTTTCGGCGGACACAACATCTTTGTTTGTATGTGGTGCTGAGGATCCAACTCGGGCTGCACGCATGCCAGGCTAGTGTGATACTGCTTGAGCCACATCCCCAGCCCAGATTAACTATTTTCTGATGTTTTATTTGTTTCTCCTACTAGGTTAATCTTTGTATTTTAAGTTTTAAGAATTTGGTGTTTATTTATGTATCTTATTCTGTTTTTATGCTGAATGTTTTTCCCACTGCCACTTTGTTTCCTACAGGAAGGAAGAGATCCCTCCAAAATCACAACCAGTTTCCCTACCCGAAGAATTGAATAGAGTTCGATTATCGAGGCATAAGCTAGAACGTTGGTGTCATATGCCCTTCTTTGCTAAAACTGTCACAGGATGTTTTGTACGAATTGGCATTGGAAACCATAACAGCAAACCAGTTTACCGGGTTGGTATTTCTTTCCTTGGACAGTTGTCCTTGGTATTTATTTGTTTGTTTGTTCATTCTTTTTTGTTCATTTTTGACTCACCATGTCAGTGGCCTTAAATTTGCAATCCTTCCACCTCATCCTATTGAGTGCCTGTGATCTCAGGTGTGTACCACCTTCCCAGATTTCCATACTTTAAACATAATGATACCCTCCTGGAGGTAGGAGATACTAAGCAAATCTATTTGCCAACATTTGACTGTGTATTTAGTCAGCTTTTCTTACAGTAACAAATACCTGAGATGATCGAATGAAAATTTTATTTTGGCTCACGTTTTACGAGTATCATAAACATGATCGGGTAGTCAGTCCCATTGCTTTTGGGTCTCTTCTGAGGGAGCAACACATTATAGCGGTGCACATAAGGAGAGAAAAACCACTCATCTCATGGCCCATATGTGAAAGACAGAAAGACAAAGACCAAGATCCTATAATGCCCTTTGAGAACATGCCCCAGAGACCTAAAATCTCCCAGGAGGCCTCCCCTCTTAAAATTTTCATCACCCATCAGTAGTGCCAAGCTGGGCACTAAGCCTTTAACATGTGGGCCGTGAGAGACACCTAAGATCCAAACTGTAGCAGAATAGAAAGTAGATTCCATGAGATGCCCATAAAAGAGTGAAAATCTATAGTGACCGGAGATGTGATTCGCAAACCTGCTGCCAGGAAAAGTAATTGAAGCCCAAGAAACTCGTGGTTTTGGATTTAGAACAATTTTCTCTATGCTCCTTCAGTACAAAAAGAAAAAGGGAAACAGCTATGAAGTAGTTTTTGGAAATTACATAATCTGTAAGATCTATTTATTCAAATAATAAATTACTAAAAAAAAACTTCTAGGACCAGGGAAGTTAAAGAGAATATAAAATAACTCCAACCTTGTACAGGCTATTTGTATGTTCCAACACAGCCTCTATCATCTAAATGGCTAGAAGAACATAGCTATTTGATTTTTCTCTTGTTTGTTTTTGTTTTATTCTAGATTGTCTTGTTTTAATGTGTTTATCTCCTAGAATGGGAGCCAGCAGCCATGCCATGTTCCAGAAAGCTGTACAACAGAAACTGACCTCCATGGTCTTCTTCACATTTGGTTGATAAAGATTGATCTCTAAGCTGGGCCTAGTGATGCATGCCAGTAATCCCAGTGACTCAGGAGGCTGTAGTAAGGAGGATCGCAAGTTTGAGGCCAGCCTCAGCAACTTAGAGTGACCCTTCCTAAAAAGAAAAGTTAAAAAGGTGCTGGGTGTAGTAGGTTCATGCCTGTAATCCCAGCAGCTCTGAAGGTTGAGGCAGAAGAATTGCTACTTTGAAACCAGCCTTGAAATTAGCCTCGGCAACTTAGTGAGGCTCTAAGAAACTCAATGAGAGCCTGTCTCTAAATAAAATATAAAAAAGGGCTAGGGATGTGGCTTAGGGGTTGCATGCCACTGGGTTCAATCCCTAGCACCCCCCCAAAAAAATTAAAAAGGATAGGGGATATACTCAGTAGTAAAGTATTCCTGAGTTCCACCCCAGTACAAAAAAAAAAAAAAGCAAGAAATTACCTCCAAGCCAGGTATAGGTGATGTATACCTGACCTGTAATGCCAGCTGTTTGAGAGTCTGAGGCAGGAGGATCACAAGTTCAAGGCCAATCTGGACAACTTAGTGACACTTTGTCTCAAAAAATAAAAAGGGCTTGGAATATAAGTCAATGGTAGAGCACTTGCCTAGCATGTCCAAGGCATTGTTTTAATACCTAATATCCAAACATTTGACCTGTACGTTGGGCTGGAATATAGGTCTTGGGGTCAATCCCTAGCACTACAAAAAAAAAAAAAAATTTGACCTCTAGAACTGGTAATGTCATACCTGTAGTCCCAAATATCTGGGAGGCTGAGGCAGAATCTTTTAAGCCCTGGAGTTCAAGACCAGCCTAAGCAACTGTGAGACCCTCTCTCCAAAGGAGACTAAATTTATTATTTGTAGTTATTTTAAAATTTTTTCTTAGTTGTTGATGGGCCTTTATTTTATTTATTTTATGTTATATGTGGTGCTGAGAATCGAACCCAGTGCCTCACACATGCTAGGCAAGTGCTCCACCATTAAGCCACAACCCCAGCCCCTTATTATTATTTTTCAACTTCTGAAATCCCAAGTACATCCCTTAGTAAAGGTAGATTTAGTTTAGGAAAGCTAATGGGCCTCACCAGGCCAATTGTCTCTGCTCAGGGAGCTTGCTTACCCTGGGCACAAGGGTCCCTGTGCTTTGCCATCTGAATTCCAAATTTGAGATAGAAACATGGAATACCTGACAGTTGTAGGCTACTCTCAGCACACGGTTGCTTGTCTGTGTTCTGGTAGATAGAGTCAAAGGAAGAGTTATGTAGAGAGCTCTGAAGAGTCTTCTTTTTGACTGGTGTCTCTATCCTTTCACTTAGGTTGCTGAGATCACAGGTGTTGTGGAAACTGCCAAAGTTTACCAGCTGGGTGGTACCAGAACAAACAAAGGGCTACAACTACGGTAAGAGGCACTGCTGTGGCAGCTTTGGTTCCCTCTTTAAACAGGCACTGCCTGTTGAGCTGTCATTGCCTCCAATGTAATGTTTCCTGTTACTATGAATGCTTTTTATGTGGTCCCACAAGGTACCCTAAAGGAACTCATTCTATCTTTACCTATAGGGAAAGTCTCCAGATATTATTTTCTCCCAGACACTGTGACAGCATAAAATAAAAAAACAGTGGGTGAGCACTTGCCTAACATGCACAAAGCCCAGGGTCCAATCCCCAGTACAACAACAACAACAACAAAAAAAGGCTGGGGAGACAGGAATATGAAGTACTAGGACGTACAGAAGAATGATTTTGAGTCATAAGAGAAAATGCCCAGCGAACACGGTCAAGAGGCTTGTTTCTGGTCCTGGCTCTCTCACTTAACTAGAATTTAGTTATCTTTCAGGATTTTGTTTCCTCTTCAGTAAACTGAACATGTCATTCACTCAACATTTGTGCTAGGTACAGTTCTGATCATCAGGTTAAAGGAAAGAACAAGGTAGACATACACAAATCCCTGCCTCTTAGAACTAATATTTTTTGTTTGTTTGTTTTGTTTTGGTACCAGGGATTGAACCCAGGGGTGCTTAACCACCAAGCCATACCCGTTTTTATATTTTATTAGAGACAGGGTCTTGCTGATTTGCTCAGGGCCTCATTAAGTTGCTGAGGCTGGGTTTGAACTTGCAATCCTCCTGTCTCAGCCTCCCAAGTTGCTGGGATTACAGGCATGCTCCACTGCGCCCAGTGGACCCTAAGAATTCTAAAGACCCCATAGAAAGGAATAGAAGTGGGCTGGGGATGTGGCTCAAGCGGTAGCGCACTCGCCTAGCGTGCGTGCGGCCCGGGTTCGATCCTCAGCACCACATACAAACGAAGATGTTGTGTCCGCCAAGAACTAAGAAAAAATAAATAAATGTTAAAATTTTCTCTCTCTCTCTCTCTCTCTCTCTCTCTCTCTCCCCCCCCCTCTCTCTCTCTCCCTCTCTCTCACTCTCTCTTTAAAAAAAAAAAAGAAAGGAATAGAAGTAGTTTGCCAGGATCACACAGCAAAGAGCTGTGATGGACGATGGACGTGGCTGCCCCTGGGCCTATTGGTCACCATGATCTCTCCGTTTCCCTCCCACATCCTCACTCCATTGTCTCCCCTAATTTCTTTTAAAAGAGCCATTTGGACTAGGAAGTGGCCATAACAAACAGAATCAAATTCTAGATGATTTCAAAGGGTAGCCAGGATTGAGAAATGCAGAGATAGAAGGCACACAGAGGTATAGTAGGATTGCTTTGCTGATCCTAGAGTCAACACACACTTTCTTGGAAATGCCGTCTCTCTTTTATGTAGGCATGGTAATGACCAACGAGTGTTCCGCCTAGAGTTTGTCTCAAACCAAGAATTTACTGAAAGTGAATTCATGAAGTGGAAAGAAGCGGTAAGTGTCTAGAGCTTCCCTAGCAGTTGTTTGCAAACACTGAAAAGTCTCTTTCCCGAATCCTTTACTAATAACCTTTCTCATATTTTGGTCCAGATGTTCTCTGCTGGCATGCAGTTGCCCACTCTAGATGAAATCAATAAAAAGGAATTATCTATTAAAGAAGCTCTTAATTATAAATTCAACGATCAGGACATTGAAGAGGTAAGAAACCTTGGTACCCCAGAGCCTGAAGGTTTATCAAGTTCATCAGGGTTTAGAGATCATAATTTTATTTTCTCCCTATATCTTGATATTTTTAGGTATGCATGAAGATGAGGAAATACTAATACTGCTACCTTATTATTCATAGTTCATCAAGTTTTTCTCTGTATATTCTCATCTGCAGATTAGATTACGTAGACTCAGTATATTCAGGGATCAGGGAAATATATTCTGCTAGGTTTGATCCTTCTGGAAGTTTCTTTCTCCAAAACATTTTGGCAGAATTCTTTGATTTCTGTTCTCTTGGACAGTGGCTAGCCTTACAATACCAGGCCCTTGGGCTGCTGCTGTTCATTGGTGCATATTCCTTCAGACTGTCCCAGAAGAATCTCCGTGACCCTGGAAGCAGCATAGTATCCCTTGGAGTGAACTCATTCTCTCTTGGGGGCATGACGCCACTATAGGAAGAGCAGTCCCCTTTTAACTAGCTGCTTGCCTCCAAAATGGGCTCACTTAGCCTGTCTACAAAAATAGTTTAGGAATACCTCACTGCTGGTATCTCCTCTCTGGTACAGATTGTTAAAGAGAAAGAAAGGTTCAGAAAAGCTCCACCCAACTATGCTATGAAGAAGACTCAGCTGCTAAAGGAAAAGGTAAGGACATGTATTCGAGCCTCTTTGCCCATCCTGTAAGGAGATATGGAAATCAAACTACTAGTATATCTTCTGCTAAGTTAATGATAGCAGAATTGGGACAAAACTCTGGGCTCAGTTATAAGCAACACAGTGTATTCTTGATGTCTTTGTGAAATTCCTCGGCCATTTTCCTGTCTATAAATTGAAATTGTTCCATTCTTATTACTTTCTAGTCCTTTTACTTTCATGTGTAGTAAAATAGACCCCCCCACACACCAAAGGTAGGTGTGGTTTTTGCATACTTATAATCCCAGTGACTCAGGAGGCTGAGACTGGAGGATTATAAATTCAGGTCAGTCTCAGCAACCTAGTGAGACCTCCATCTCAAAATTTTAAAAAGGGGGATGTAGTAAAGCACATCTGAGTTCATTCCACAATAGAATAGCAAGAACAAAACAAAACAAAAAAAGACCTGTTTAGACCTACTATTCCTCACTGGGTCTAAACAGACAACTGATATTATCAAGCCCGATTATAGTAGGTGGTTTTCCATTCTTCAAATCCTGATGGGGTGAGCCTTGTTATGATAGTTTAGCCGTGTGGACCTGGGTTTTACATATTGCTGCCACTAGGGGTCCATAGCCAGGTAGCTATATGGCAGTGTACTTTAAGTAAAATTACACATTTTGTGTTTGTAAAGTATTTCTTCACTATTCTTTCACATCTCTTGTCATTTGTTCATCATAAATTAATAAACCGCATATATTATTAGGCTGTATATCAAGAATCCCCTTCCAGCAATCATAGCCAAGAGCTTACATGCTTCTCTGTGTGCAGGCCATGGCTGAAGACCTGGGAGATCAGGACAAGGCGAAACAAATCCAAGACCAGCTGAATGAGTTGGAGGAGCGAGCCGAGGCCCTGGACCGCCAGCGGACCAAGAACATATCTGCTATCAGGTGTGTTAACTGAGCCTATTTTTTTTTTTAAGAGAGAGGGGAGAGAGAGAGAGAGAGAGAAATTTTAATATTTATTTCTTAGTTCTCGGCGGACACAACATCTTTGTTGGTATGTGGTGCTGGGGATCGAACCCGGGCCGCACGCATGCCAGGCGAGCGCGCTACCGCTTGAGCCACATCCCCAGCCCCTAACTGAGCCTATTTTGGTTGGGCCCCTATCCATGGTCTGAAGACCTTGGCCAAAATTATTGGGCAAGCCTGTGGCCTTGTACACACTGTGCTACACTGACTCTCCAGATCTCTGGGGTCAGGGCTCTGAGACTACTCCCTCTTATGGTCCACTGACTCATCTCTTACTCATCCCATAGTTATATCAACCAGCGGAACAGGGAGTGGAACATCGTGGAGTCTGAGAAGGCCCTTGTGGTGAGTAAGACAACTTTATCTGAATCACTGAAAAAATTTAAATAGAATGATATGAAATCTTCCTACATGTTGCTCAAGTCTATCTTTTATATCATTGAAATAACACATATATTTAGCATATACTCATTCTCTGTGTGTACATTCACCCATGTAATTTATTAACTTATAATGAAAAATAGCAGTCTTCTACCCTGCTTTACCCCTTTCTGCCCTTAGACTACTCCACAGACGTTCATTCTTACCAGTTTCTGATTTTTGGTTGTTGCCCTGATAGCTGCTCTGGTGTTCTTAAAGGGAAAGGATAATAACTTCCAGGTTGTTATTCCCCTCCCCCACCCCCCTGCACCCCTTGCAAAGAGATTATTTATAAGCAAGTTTATGATGAATGAGAGGGTGGGGAAAGGAGGTATGGTTCTCTAATACATGTTCTCTGTTTTAGGCTGAAAGTCACAACATGAAAAACCAACAGATGGATCCCTTTACCAGGCGGCAATGCAAACCTACCATCGTCTCTAATGTGAGTGCCTAAAGAGGACATTTTTAGTCAGGACCTAGATTCTAGGACATAAAATGAATTCCATTAGGAAATTAATAAAGAAGTTAAAAATAATGTTTTCCTAGCTGGGATTTGCTTGCCTGCTTCAAGTTCTTGAGTCCAGAAACTTCCTTTTTTATCTTGCTATAGGTCATACAGGTAGGGAAAAACCTGACATGGATTCATAAAGACCCTGTGACTAACCCCTGTGTACCAGGGTGGGTTTATAGTGCAGTGCAGTCCCTAAAGTAACTTATTCAAAGTGCTTGGGACCAAAAGTGTTTCAAAGTTTGGATTGGTGGGGGAGGTATATTTGAATATTTGCATAACTTGGGGATATGACCCAAGTCTACATGTGAAATTCATTTATATTTCGTATGTCCTACACATCACCAGAAGGTAATTTTGTATCATATTTTTAGTGTGCCTATGTTTTGACTACAACCTGTCACATGAGGTCAAGTGTGGAATTTTCCACTTGGTGCACAAAAAGTTTTGGATATTTGAGCACTTTGGATTTCAAGTTTTCATATTGATAATGTGTTACTCAGGTGTGGGTATGGATTAGTTTTTGTTTGGTTTTTCAGTCCTGGGGATTGCACCCAGAGCCTTCTTATGCTAGGCAAGCACTCTACCACTGTGCTGTATCTCCATAGGTATAGTTTTAAAAGCTTTTAATTTCCCTTCTTTTGCTGCCTTGAGGAAAACTCCACTGAGCTACTGATGAGTCTGCTGTGGTGCTTATGATATTATTGGTAGTAGGTAGAAAGAATCTGGCAATAAGACTCTGAATGTTGAAGTCTCTAAAAATAACTTATTTTTTTTCTCAGTCCAGAGACCCGGCTGTTCAAGCTGCCATTTTGGCCCAGCTAAATGCGAAGTATGGTTCTGGAGTGTTACCAGATGCACCAAAGGAAATGAGCAAGGCAAGTGCAGTACTACCCTGTGGCTGCAGAGCTAGGCTGCTGGCTGGAACCCTGAGTGAGCACCTTACCTGGTTTGGGCTTGATTTTTACCACAGGAGAACATGGAGTCCCACTTACAGTGTTTTCTCTATCGTAGTTTTTTATAATCAGCAAAACTTAATTTTGATCAAACAACCTAAACTCTAAACTCAACACCATTACTTGACTAGAGTTGAAGCCACTGTGTCTTTGGGCCATTTAGGGAGTATTTTATATACCCTACCTACTTTGGAGGATAATTAGGAGAAGCAGTTGACATGTTGTAAGGATCAGATGATTATATAAGTGAAAGCAAAAATGGGAAACTGAGAGAAACCTCCCATTTACAAAAAATTTTCTACCCAATTTTGAGTCTTGGGTAGACTGTCCTAGGAATTCCTGAAATCTGGGGTGAGAAGATGGCCTATTGTCTTAAGCCCACCCTTCCTTCTCACATACCACAGATATGAGTCTTCCTTTTTGCTTTGAAGCTTACAAATATCTGTACAATTGAGTGACAAGTCAGGACTTCAGAAACAAAATAAAGGCAATATTTTTGAAGGGAAGTTGCAGGCGATACTTTCCCTGCACCTGTCAAAAACAAGACAGACAAGCAGACCTATATACATAAGCTAGGCGTATGGACATTGTAAGCTTCAGAAAAGAAAGCTCTTATCTATGGTCTCTCCTGTCTTTCCTCTTTGAAAATCAGAAAAGGACTTTAGTAGGAAAATATAATGAACTTATTTAAATAAGAGCTTTGGCCATTAGTGGCTGCTGCTTCTTAAAATCTTCTTATACTTATGCTCTTTATAATTAGTTTTCCTCTTCTTATTCCAGGGTCAAGGAAAGGATAAAGATTTGAATTCTAAGTCAGCCAGTGACCTCTCAGAAGACTTGTTCAAAGTGCACGATTTTGATGTGAAGATTGATTTACAGGTTCCCAGCTCAGGTATGTGAGGGTGGGGAAGTACTGATGACATGACTATATGGATCCACAGCTCTCTTGGCCTGTGAGGAGACCTTACTCTAATGAAAAAACGGAGAGGCAGACATGGTGTGGTACACACCTATAGCTCCAGCAGCTCTGGAGGCTGAGTCAGGAGGATCATGAATTCAAAGCCAGCCTCAGCGGGCTGGGGATGTGGCTCAAGCGGTAGCGCGCTCGTCTGGCATGCGTGCGGCCCGGGTTCGATCCTCAGCACCACATACCAACAAAGATGTTGTGTCCACTGAGAACTAAATAAAATAAATATTAAAAAAAAAAATTAAAAAAAAAAAAAAAAACAAAGCCAGCCTCAGCAACTTAAGGAGATCCTCTCTCTAATAAAATACCAAAAAGGGGACTAGGGATGTGGTTTAGTTGTTAAGTGCCCCTGGGTTCAATTCCCAGTACCAAAAAAAAGTAACTGAAGAAATGGGGATAGTATCTGTAGAGGCCAGGTCAGACTGGCTGCAGTTACATTTGACTACAGTCTGCAGTCAGTAAGGCTATCTGAAGGAATGAAGCACAAGACTAAAAGATTTTGTAGGTACTTCACATGCCAATTTGTTCTTTCCCACAGAGTCAAAGGCTTTGGCCATCACCTCCAAGGCTCCTCCAGCCAAGGATGGGGCTCCAAGGAGATCTCTGAACTTGGAGGACTACAAAAAACGACGGGGACTTATTTGAAAGTATCCAGCCTGCTGCTTCTGACCCTGCATGCCCATCAGTGTCCTGCCTTTCCTCTTTTCCTTTGATTTGCCCTCTTTGGGCTGGAGCAGCAGTAGAACTGGGAAGAGACTCTAAACTGCCAGTCATCTGTAATATAAACCATTTGCTGTATAGACCTCCCTTGTCTGCACCATCTCCCATCAAACCCCTGGGCCCCACCCATTATGGATCTGGGCTCAGTTGGGCTTTTTCCATGTCTTTAGATTTGTGTTTGCCTTTTTTTTTTTTTTTTCTTTTTTCTTTTTTTAACCAGCACAGTTCATTGGCCACTGTACACACATTCAGTATTACCATGGAGCTGGGATTCCTGCTGGAGCCCCTGGTGGCGATAGCAGCAGCACTGGGCAGTCTTCTCTCCAAGACTGCCTTGGACCCAACCATTGAACATTTGGCACCTGACCTTTGTGGAGGGAGCAGGGATTGGGCACCTGCAGTCCTCCTTACTCTCTCATCTTTCTCTTCTTCCCATCTCTGCGGAAGAAGGGTTTTCAAAAACAATTTAGTTTCCAAAAAGTGTACATTTGTGGGGAGGGAGGGGGGTCTAATTTGAGAGAGAGAGAGAGAGAGAGTGTGTGTGTGTGTGTGTGTGTGTGTGTATGTGTGTGTGTGTGTGTATGTGTGTATGTGTATGTAAGTGTGGGTTTTTTTATCATTTTTTTAAAATGCAGTACTCTTTGTATCAGTCTGTCATTGGTCTATAGCTGTTTCAGATTTTTTTCAGCTGTACTTGAGCATCTGAAACTGCAAGAAAGAAACTCATTAAATGTGATTCTTCTTATTAAACAGACCTGACTGCTGTAGCTGTGTAACTTTCCCTACCCTCTCTTCCTCCATCACCTCCCCGTCTTCAAGAAAACTCCCTAGTTTAGCTCCTTGCCTTATAGGCTGTGTCCTGGCAGGCAGGAGAGAAGCTGAGGCAGGTACCAGGAGGGCAAAAAGTGTCTTGCTCATCTCATGGCACAGCCTACAGCTTCTTGGCTGAACATAGAGTGTGTCTTGTTCCCACCCAGTGTACCTGTGTCTTCCTAGTGATTCTGTTTTGATGTTTTGGCAAGAATAACACTTGTTTTGTTTTTTAAAAGAAATTATTCAACATGAATGTGGAGAGCAAACAATAAGATTTGGATTGAAAATGTTACCAGCATGTGCAGTTGTGTGTGTGTATACATATATATATATGGTAAGCATATATATTGTTGTGCAGCTAGGGTGAAGCCAGCAAAGAGGTGTGTATGTCGTTATGAAATGTTTGAAAAGAGATAAGCTGACTGCTTGATAATCATTCTCAGGTGTAAAGCTCCAAGTGTAAATAAAAGTGGCATTTAACAAATCTTTTCAGAACAAAGTACAGCTGACTATATATACCAAGAACTAAGCTAAAGAAACAGCTGAGAGCTGCTGATTTCCACAAAAGGGAGAGGAATCTAGAAGCTCTACTCTGTACTTCTTCACTCAATTTTTATATACGGAAGGGGATGATGGGAAATCACAGAGTGTTTTGAAACAAGAATGAACTTGGTAACTCTTCTGGGTTTGGTAGAGCCTCAGTGTTGCTTTAACTTAGTTTACATATTTTTAAAAAAATCGGCAATGGGTGGTTTTAAAGTATTGTGACTGAGTAAAATTGGTAAATGACTGTAACACAGCAATATGGTAGCTGTGACAGTTCATTTGGGCAAAGGAGTGGTGATGGACTCATTAAAATCATATATACTTGAATAGTCCATTGACCGAAACTCTTTATAGACTGTTGTGTAAATGTGGAATCACAGACTGTTAAACATTGCCTGGACTCTAGCAGAGTCCTGGAGCTGCTGGGACCTCTCCTATCATGTCAAACTTGGACTTTTTCTTTCTGGTTTTAAAAGACATAAAATCATAGAATCCATATAATTTGCTGGAGTCATTCTGATCCACCATGTAGATCTGTATTTAGTATCATTTGGATTTGGAGAAGTGTCGATTTACATTATGGCTGTGTAATAAAATTTTTATTAAAACTGCATCACACTGTAGCACTTTGCCACTACCTCCCCACCTGCAGCTGCTGAAACCTTCATTCGGAGATGCCAAAGCACAGAGCCGGGAGAAAAGCCATCCAAACCAAAGAAGACTGAAAGTTAACCTACCATCTGAGTAGCCTACCTGATAATTGGGATCAAGACTGAGGACTTTGGCTGCAGTCCCAGCTGAGGCAGAGCCTCTGAGTCACAATCTTGGCCAGGCCTAAGACACGGGCTTTGTCCCACCGGCTGGGCTTCTTTATGGATCACAGTATTTCTTATGCTAGGGAACTGCCTCAGTGGCCCCCTCCACCACTCCCATCCCCAACATGGTTTTGATGTTGAAGAGTGCAGCACCTAAGTCTGTTTTATACATTTTTCAGTTCCTTCCAGGAAGTGAGAAGGTCAATGTCCGTCCATACACCTAGCTCATGCATATAGGTCTGTCTTGTTTTTGACAGGTGCAGGGAAAGTATTGCCTGCAACTTCCCTTCAAAAAGATTGCCTTTGTTTTGTTTATGAGAAGTCCTGACTTGTCATCAATTGTACAGATATTTGTAAATAAACTTGATGCCATTTTAACAAGGGGATCAGACTTAGTCCAAGGCTTGCATCCTAAGTGGCACCTCAAAGTTCTTAAGAAAGCCTCTCCTGCTCTTTTTCTTCCCCTTCTCGTAGCACTGCACCCCCAAAAGTGAAAGTGGCTGTTGACAACTTAAGCAGCTTGGTTCTCCAGAAGGCCAAGTTGCCTAGACCCAGCGGGGCCTGCAGTTTCCCTGGCTTACTTCTAATCTTGGTAAACAACAAACAGCAGTTTAGTTAACTGGGACAGGCACCTAATAGGATGCCTAACCCTAGTGAGAATTGGCCCTAACAGATTTCATTTGGCTTAGGCAGTTCCTGTGCTGTTTTCTGCCTTTGGTATGTGTGAAGCAGGGTTTCAGGGGCTGTGAGTGTGTTCATGAAGGAAACAGTTGATATCCTCTGGCCTGACCCAAGGAAGGAGATTTGTAAGGGGTTCCCACTACCTGAAATTGTGTCTGAAACCCCTATTGGGCCATATTTAACTAGAAAGCAAGAAGATCCCAGACCTTTAACTCCCTATGGTAGAAACCAGATCCAAGGCTGCCTCTGATGTTGAAGAAATAGTCCCCAGGATTTAGCCATTAAGTGCATTCAGACTTCTTGTCCTCCACATGCTCTTCTTAGGGTTCTGGGTTCTATGTGGCAGCCACTTGCTATCACTGAAAAACAAAAATAAGCACCTCCAGGGCTGGGGATATAGCTCAGTTGGTAAAGTGCTTGCCTTGCATGCATACGGCCCTGGGTTCAATCCCCAGCACCACAAAAATAAATAAATAAATAATAAGCACCTCCAGTGCAGGTGGAGGAAGGGAAAAGGAGTGGTAGGGCGATCAACATCTCCCAGCTTCTTCCAGGAGAGAGACCATTCCTCAGGTAAACATGGGTTGACTATGGACTAGCAGCTCTAAGGAGCCAGGAAGCCACTGGCCTCAGCTTAGATTTGTTTGTTGCATTATTCCCTGGATCACTTGGGGGTCCTTTGGTCTGTGTTTGGGGGCTGGAAGGAATAACTGTAAACAGGACCCACCACAGCCTGCCTTTTTTTTTTTTAAGCAATTGGTATTGAATCCAAGGACACTCTACCACTGAGCTACATCCTTAGCCCTTTTTATTTTTTATTTGAGACAATTTCTCTCTAAACTGCCTAGGCTGACTTCCAGCTTGCAATCCTTTTGCCTTAGCCTCCTAAGTTATTGAAATTTCAGATGTTGGGCTGGAGATGTGGCTCAGCGGTAGCGCGCTCGCCTGGCATGCGTGCGGCCCGGGTTCGATCCCCAGCACCACATACCAACAAAGATGTTGTGTCCGCCGAGAACTGAAAAATAAATATTAA